AAATATAGAAATTTAAGCAGTATTTATTTCTGTTGTGTGTTTCCAGGACAACCAGGAGAGAAGGGTGATAAGGGATCTCCAGGTGTGGGTGTACAAGGACCCAGAGGACCTCCAGGACCACCTGGTAACTTATTTTCCTGCTAAGCCTTTCTGAACCATCCCAGTGATGCAGTGAAGAAAGTCCTGAACATGATTGTCTGATTAGTGAAAGAAAAAATGTTTCACATGGATCATTAAGATGTTGTAAAATCCACAGAATTCAACAGAAAATATAATTTTTTATCAAATGTCTTAACTGACATGGTAAGATAGATTATTAATTTTATTATTAGTATTAGTACTAGTGTTGTTGTTCTTGTTTTTCTGAACTGAACCAAAAAATGTGAACAAATTGTCTCTAAAATTAAATAGTTGATATAATTTTTTCTATAGTTTTAGTTGTTGAGGTGTTCTTAAGTTAATTCTGAGTGCCATTTAAAAATGTCTTAAACATTTGTTACCTGGAAACGTCTGGAAGAACTTTAACTACTAAAATCATTAAAATAATCACTTTGAAAGCTGCAAAGTGTTTTTCTGTCCTCTGACTGACAGAACGCAGGAGAAAACACAAACACATGTTGTGATAACTTCGGGCTCACAGTCGGGGTTCTTATGACTGATGATGAGTTTGTCCTCAGAGTGATTCTGTAATTCTAACATTTGTGTTTTGTTTTCTAAACTCTTCATCCTCTTCCTCCCAGGTCCCCAGGGACAGGGCAGACCAGGTAGCTCTGGACCCTCAGGACGACCTGGAAATCCCGGAGTACCCGGTCGGCCCGGAGCCCCCGGACCCATCGGCCCCCAGGGGCCTCCGGGTTACTGTGATCAGAACTCCTGTGTGGGCTACAATGTTGGAGGTACGTAGTCTCAGAAATATGAGGAAACTATGATCCACCAGTGTTATCAAGACTCTAATTCTGGTAGTTTTTAATCGTGCTGCTTTCTCTGGAGTTTTTCATCAAAG